GGGGATGCTCGTGCCCCGCGAGTGCCGTGCCTCCTCCCGGCCCGCTCGGCGCGCCCGGGGCGTGACTCTTGGCGTGGGAGGGGGAATGTGCAGCGTCCCACGAATCGAGATTAAGCTCGGAAACACGATTTTCTGAGTTATTGAGGGCATAGGGTTGCTCTTAATATTTGCTTTAATATTTAGTTAAGCGTATGTTCTCCAAACTGCCTTTCCATTTTCCTTATCGTAATAAATGATGCGTGGCTGAGACTGTGGAAGTGTTTTAAAAACTAGAGGTGCCCAGGATGCTGTAATATTGTCAGTTTAAGTGACTTTTGGGTATTTTTAAACAATTTTGTTTAGGGTCTTGAAAAATGTATTTTCTAGCAAGATACAGAGAATGAATTTATGTAGGATTTCAGCATCAGTGTTGCAGTAATCAGATTTCAGTGGTTGGTGCAGCCTTGCAAATAAATGGCTACTTATCCATGTGCTTGAGGGCTTAACTATTCCTTTTGAGCTAGTTCTCTAGGATCAGCTGACTGCTCATTATAGTTCACAGTAGCCCGTGTAGAGGTTGTATTCTTAATTGATAAGCAGAGATAAGAGCTAACATTTAACACTACCCCTTAGCAAGTTTTCTCCACTTGTTTGTGGATCATTCTGGTACAATTAAACTCACCTTTGTCTAGATGAAGAGCATTACTTGGTACAATAACATACTAGCTTTATTTCTACTATTAGTATATATTAGCTTATATATTATATATGCATAATCATATATAATTTTATAACCACTTAGTTTGACTCTAAAGTTGGAAAGTTACGAACAATAATAGTAGGCAATGTTGAATGCTGTTTGCCAGGCCTATGCCGAATGGTCTACATGCTTTATCTCATTTCATCTTCCCGGATAATTTCTTGCATAACCATAGATTGCTCAAAAATCTTTGAATACACGAGTTTGATTTGAATGTGTCCAAATGTGAAATATGTATATTAATTACTTCTGTTTCCCCTTTTGTGAAATAAGGGTGTTGGCAATATAAAATGACTCCTGGATTAAATTAATGCATTTTTCAAGTTGGAAGAGGGCTTTAAAATTGCATAGAACCACAGTTAGTCCCTTTATTTGGGTATTCAGTAGTTCCCAAAGCCCAGTGTCTCGTGTATCCAAGTTCCCATTACATGTCATTGTCACCCAGTGAACAGGCTATGCATGGACAGGGAGAAATGTAAATATTGGGAAAGCCTTAATGGCCATTTCTGAAAGATTCCCGTCTTTCCATATTTAGCTTCTAAGTGACATTCCTAATTAAGGGTAAACAAGTGACAATGAAACAGGAAGAGTAATCTTCCAATACCAAACCAAGGAAATAGAAAAACCGTGGGTTGCCTGTTACTTTGTTGATGAGTCAAACGTTCATGGGTATACAAACGTTAAGAATGTTAGATTATCTACGTTGTTGGGGTTCTACCTCATTTTTCAGTTTGCCTTTAAATATCTTACACATGTAATTCAGTTTCAAGTCCAGCACTTTGTGCATTAAGAAGTTAAGTTTTTAATTGGATTTAATTAAGTAGTTTTGACTTCCTTAATTGAAAAGTTTATTTTGACTGTGTTTCCAAGATACAATTGAATGATTTCTGTAGGTATAACAATGGTGAGAATGACAGTGGGATCTAACAGTTTTCATCTTGTGGGAGTAGAAGTAGTTGAAAGGACGGAAGGATGAGGGAAGTGCTTGGAAACGTGTCTTAGTTGTGATTAGAGCCTACTGGACTTCACCTGTTTTCAGATTCTAGTGGTCCATCGTTAGAGAGGAGGAGATGGAGAATGAATGCTTTGCCAATCAGCATTTTCCTTGACCTAAAGGCATTCTCTCTGGAGAGGGGATGAGTGGAGAGTTGACATCAATGGAAGGATGTAAGAACTAAAAAATGCACTTGTTTTCTTTGGAGTTAATCCTTCCACCCATCATGACTAACTGATTCTTGCCACCACTTGCATCTTGAGGCACTTTCCTAGGAGATATTTGATATGTACGGCAAGTCCTAGTAGATGAAGCAAGGAAGGGAAAGAAAGGGGAGGAGACAAAGCACAAAGGGTGTGCAGCACCGCAGTGATAGGCTTTCATTCAGGCAGGGTAGGCCCTGAGCCTCAGCGGCCTCTACTGTGAAAACCATTCCAATAATATTAACTGTGTGTCTGTGTAAATCTCTTGCATGTTATTTGGATCCAGAAATATGGAGCGTATCCCTTTAATATGCTGTAGAAACAATGGAACGTATTTAGAATACAGTCAAGTTATTGACTTTTTCATGACAGCCCTTTCTGTGTGCTTGTCATTGTTGGAAAACCAGAGTGACCGTAAAGCCAGCATTGGCTCCTGTTTGTAAGGCATTTAAGTGATGTCATGTTTCATTGGACTGGAAGACAAGCCCTTCTCATTCCTTACCGCAAAACTTGGCTCTCACGTGGAGTGCCCTTTAAGCCCCCAGAGTGCAGGGACCTTTTCTGTGTCACTCATTGCCATGTCCCCAGAGCCTCGAACAGAACCTGGCATATGGAAGGTGCTCAGTAAATATTTGTGGAGTGAACAAAAATACATTGGAATCCTCTTCTCTCTTCGTTCCACTAGTGGAGATCCCACTTACCTTTCCAGGCAGGGCCATTCCAGCCTTACCATCTCCACCGAGTCTGCAGCCCATGATAAGCCCCTTTGAACGTTACCTGTTTATACCACATGCTTTGGCATTTAATTTTTTTATGGCTTTATATTGTTACATAAGTGTTTCCTGTGTTTTGTTTCCCCACCCAAAATATAGGCTACTCGAGGGCAGGGAATATCGATGTTTGAGAACTTCCTTCTTCAGCTGGTATAATAAGATATACAGAGTAGGTT